TTCTCTTTTTAGTACTGCCAAGTTTTGCTGCTTTATATATTTTGAAGCTATGCTATTAGGTGCACACATGCTTGTGTTTGTTATTTATTTCTGTTAAATGGCCCTTTTTCCATCCTTCTCTGTTTCTTGTAATATTTATTGCCAAGGGCTACATTGTCTGATACAGTGATACAGGTTGAGTATCCCTTATTTGAAATGTTTGGGACCAGATGTGTTTCAGATTTTGGATTTTTTCATATTTTGGAATATTAGAATTATACTTATCAGAGGAGCATCCCTAATCCAAAAATCCAAAGTGCTCCAATGAGCATTTCCTTTGAGCATCCTGTCTGCGCTCAAAGGATTAGGGACACTCCGCCTGTATTGCTGTACCACTTTGGTGCTTTCCAGGTATATTCACTTTCATGCTGCTTCATCAGTCAGCCCTTTTTGTTTTGCAGAAATTTGTTAAAGCCTATTTGCTGGTTACTCATTCTCGTCTTACTCTTTTCATAGTTACAGAAGTATTTCTCTGTCTTTTTTTCTTTTTCTATCATTTAAAAAGGTGTGTGAAAGGAGAGTGGAACTATACTTTTACATTTTAAACAGAAAGTCCCCCTTTCATTTATTTTCTAACCATTTATTTGTATTTTCATAGATATTTCAGCAGTTGAATCAGTTGAACTCATTTCATCACGAAGTGATCATAAAGTGCTTGAAAAGTAGGAAAGATGAGATCAAGCAGGCTCTGTTAGGAGAAATAGTTGCTATTTCCTCTGCACAGCTACAGGATTTTGATTGGCAATTAAAGGTGAGAATCTATTTATCAATATGTATATTTTGAATTTCATTTTTTGGATATAGAGAAATTTATTTTTTTTTGAGGAGGAAGGAAAGAGAGTTTACTTTGCCAACAAAGGAGGAAATATGCTAGACCTTCTCATCTCAAAATCCCAAATTTCCTGAACATAGGCAGAAATACAGAGCTTTTGAAGGGAGGGTTCTTGGCTTCAGGCGATTACTGTGGTTAACTATTCTAATCTTCCCATCTCTGTCAAAGACAAAGCCTGTGAACTCTGCCAGCTGCCCACCTGGGGGGCTGGCATTACCTGGGAGTTTTAACAGAAGACTTTAACCTGCCTCAGGGATGCAGGCCAGGCTGAAGTTCCCAAAAGAGTGGGGGAAGTTTTCTAGGCCATTCCCTCTGTTACATATTCCCCAGTCTCAATATTTCCTTTCCATATCTACGGGAGGAGGGACAAGGTCGAGCTACCCCTGCTGAAGTTGGGGCGACGTTTCAGATGGAAGGTTCATACTTATGTATATGTCATTACAAATCTTTGGCAGTATATTTACAATAACAGATTATGAAGGAAAAAAAGTCATAAGCAACAACTACAACAATGAGGACTGACAAGACGAAATGGACTGACGCCTTGTAGACAATGTCCAATACAGGGCTGGGCAGGCAAGCGCCCTGCAGGCGATTGAGAGACCAGCTTCTGCAAATTCAGAAATCGTATACAGTGACAGATAGCCTGGGAAATCCTCACTAAGGAGTGGTCTCTCCATCCTATAGACAGAACAAATAATCAAAGAAAGGTTAGCAAAAAAGATACTGACATTTTCATTTTTCCCCTTCCTTAAACAGTTACTTTAGATCGCCTAAAGGCTGGCCCCTCCACCGGGGCTTGGTCCTCTTCTTCCATGGGACACCTCTTTCCTCTGGTATGATGGACCCAAAGTTCCATTTCTGACAACTTCAAGGAGGTGTGAGCTGTTGGAGGCACCTCTTAGGGTTTCTTCTACTTCTTTGTTTCCAACTGGGGTGGAGTCCTGAAAGAGGCAGACTCATACATAGTGTTTTGTACCTGACCCACTCCTTTGGCATATTGCTTTACCCTGCTTTTTACTCATGGTTATATTACCATACTTGCCTTGGGTTGCTACGAAGGGTCTCTCATAAACTATTTCTTAGGGGTTTAACTTAAGCCTGCTTCTGAGGGATATCCTTGTTCAGAGGGGGACAAACAGCAGTACCCTATTCTACTTTTCTGACTTCTGTGATTCAAAAGCATGTCCATACTGCTTTGTGTGGAGGAGGGGGCCTGGGAACATCCTGATGACCTGTGGGATCATCGAGTCCACTTTGTAGAAAAGGCCCACCAGGTTCCCACTGGGGCTCCACTCTTCTTTATAATGTTATATATCTGCAGTTTGTTATTTCAAGAATATATTGTCCCAAGGAAAATCAAAGATAGATTAAATTACATCTTCTGCATTGACTTGGGTATAAGTACAATATAAACATCCAAATCATATGTATAAGAACATTACATTGATAATTTAACTAGAACTGTAAATCATTAGATGTCATAAGTGGTGGGGCAGTATACATTCAACATGTATTTTTGGCTACAGCTTTCTAGACTTTATAGCTTTCTTGAGATTGGTAAATGTGATTCTACCTCTAGGAGGAAAATCTATAATGTGTTATTAAAACTGTAGTTTTGAAAACATTTTGAAGAGAGTCATGATCAGTACGGTTCATAAGGAACAGTTTCAGACCAACTTTTTGTCCTTTATATGGTACTTACATCAGTAGATGAAGAGAAAACAAATATATATTTTTTCCTTAATTTTTAGCATGACCCTGGCTAAACTGCCTTATGTTGTCTTTGTAGATTAAGTAGAGAAAAATGTGGGAAAATAATAGTAGGTAGGTTCAAAATTGGATGAATTTGTGTTAGCTAAGAAGAAGGTTCCTGTGGCTCTTGCCTTGGCCCAGTCTTTAACATTTTTATGAATATTATGCTTATCAAATTTGAGGGTGACACAAAGCTAGAGATATAGTAAATATGTAATATAAATACATAATCGAAATCTAAAATTATTTTACAGCTAGTTGCAATAATGGACTAAATAAACAAAAAGATTAATCAGGGATAACCTAAGTAGAGGATTTTTCATTTAAATAAAGATTTTATATTTTCATAAACATAGAAGATAAGGGAGAGATGTTAATAGGAGCATATATGAGAAATATTAGCTGTTTTGGTTCCCCAGAGTATGGCTTGATTGATGTTGATTCAGTCGTGTGTTTTGTTGGTAGAAATGTAGTTCTTCAAGAGATAGTTCTAATATATTCTGTTTTCAACTGTTACATCTTTTTAGTTTAATTATCCTTTTAGTTCTGGCTGCCAAACTTAAGAGATATTTAAACAAATTGGAACCCAACAAGAAAAGAATGACGAGGAACTTAAAATCATGGTATGTGACATTTCTATGGAACCCTGAGACCATGTGCCTGGAAAAGATAAAACCTAGTAGAAGCATGACACTTATCTTTAAAAAACTAAAAGTCATATGGATGGTTTTGTGGCTCCAGAGACAAGGAGAAAGGCTTATCATTTGCAAAAGATGGATTCAAATTTAACCTAGGGAAGAACTTTTTAACAACTACAAGTGTCTGGAAATGATTTTAACCCTTTCTTGAGGTAGCACACTCCTCATCATTGGTGGTATTCAAGCATAGGCTGAGATACCGTTTATTGGGAATATTGAGGAGAAGAATTATCCATGTGGTGGACAACCTGAAAGCGATACTTCAAAATCTCAGATATTATGGGCCTGTTTTTGGGTGAGAGAAAGGAGGTAAGGATTTGATTCCATAGTGTGTTTACCACAAGGGAGATATTTTGAGTTTTTTTGTTAAGAAAGGTGTCCCTTACCTTTGCATAAGTAATTTTTTGCAAGTGGTAGCACTCCAAAAAAGATTCTGTTACAGTGGGTTTTTCTGTCTCAGATTCCAGAAAAATTGCATTTCCCTTTGGCATCTGCTGGTGAAGCTATAGTCTTTGTTTCAAAAAGTATCAGTTCCAAAAATATGTGGTTCTTTCAATTCCCCTAGGATACACTCCAGAGACAAACCAAGAAATGAGGTAAATGTGGTGTTTTTTTGTTGAGTGGCTCTAATGGAAGATCGTATCTTGATACCATATTTATCAATAGTTTGGTAGATAGCTGATCATGAATTAAACATCTGAATTTCTGAGAGTTTACCAATATTTTTAGTCTCATTTATCGTTGTACATGAAGTTTCATCTTGGTGTCTTTAATCTTAAGAATTCTCTATGTTTCTTGTCGCTTTGGGTCATTTTGATACTTCCCAGGGATGACTCTGATCTAGCTGTCTACTTCTGCTGCAGAACTGCTGGCTGGTCATCTTTTTTTGCTATCCACTTCCTCCCTTTTATTCACTCTCCTTTCCGTTTTATTCTTAGACTATTTGAAGACTATTAAACATGGGTTTAATTTATTTCTTCTGCCTTTCCCTGTACTTGACAGCAAATAGAAATACTTTTTTAAAAATGTACTATTATTAAGCTCGGACGCATAATTAATATAGTCCTTTTTACTATTTATTAATTACCATTTTCCTCATTTTAAACAGCTCGCACTCTCTAGTGACAAGATTGCTGCATTACAAATGACACTTTTAAGTCTTCATCTAGATGTAAAAGAAAATGGTGAAGTAAAACCGTATTCTGTTGAAATGAGTAAAGAAGAGCTGCAGAATCTAATAAATTCCTTGGAAGCAGCTAACAAGGTATTTGTTTTAGTTTTGTTATATGATTTAAATGTTTGAGTTTTGATTGATACTCTTAGAGCAGTATAAGAAAACTCATAGTTCACTTTTAATGTTTTTTTTTCCCCTTGATACTTACGTTCAGCACAGAAAATACTTCGGCGTGCTCTGATCCCTGGTTTTAGATGTTAATTATAACTTGTCATGTTCATTTACTTAGTTTTAAGCATAATGTGTCAAGCAGTTATTTTTGAAAGAATAATAGTGCTATTCTAACAGCTGAATTTGTTTTGCTTCAGTGCTCACCAGTGATAAAAATACAATTTTTACCTTGGGACCATGAAATTAGTTGATTCTGAAGAATTTTTATGATTAAAAAATATGATCCTGAAAAAAAGTGGCTTATTTAACTGGACAAATAATAGAAAATTGCTTCTATAATTCTCTAAGTTTGGGAGAGAAAATATGGCTTGTTGTTATCATGATAAAATCAGGTTGAGACAAAATTGAACTAATGAATGTCCAAAAACTTCACACTTACAACAAAGTGGCTAAATAACTGTAACTACTCCTAGTGTTTAATAAATGAGAAAAATAATATTTAAACAGTAGAAACCTGCTCTGAGGAAGAAATAAAAGTACTTGTCCTTATATGTGTATGTTCCTTCACTGGTGCTCAGCATTTTCCCCAGTGATTTCGTCTCAGTGATTCTTACCAACCTCTCTCGCCACGAGTCAGTCTTCTTCATCCTGCCTTTTTAAAACCCTCATAAACTTCAGTTTCTCTCCATACTCCAAACTTGCTCGAATATTTTAGTGCCTTGACGACTGGTCCACACGTCCAGTAACCAGACTGGTAGCTCAAGGCTGGCTGCAGGGCTGGGTGGGGCTCGGTGTGTGAAGGGGTGCGCAGCAGAGCTGGCGTCAACGCGAACGGATTCCGAACCACGGATCTGGCAGGAATGTGCTGTCAGTAACCGCGTCGTCTTGCTTGTTACGAGTTCTTCATGCCCTTCTTCGGAGATTTCAAAGCACTGTAGTTAGTATATATCAACATCGATCTGGTATAACCTGATATTTTCCCCTCAATTTGTGTTTTAAGGTGGTCCTGCAGTTGAAATAACTGGAAATGATGAACACCAGCGCTATCAGATTTCACTGCTGCAGCTGCTACGGCAGAGAATTCTGTGTGTTCAGAACCCTGCGATGCATTGACTGTCACACTGGGCTGAGACCGCAGCAGTGTTGAGAATACAAAGATAAAAATTTATCAGTATCTCTAAAGAACAGGAAATTACATGGTTGATAGGTAATGCTAAAATGAACGATTAAAATCTATAGTAGCTGTTTATATTTTCATAATGATTGTTTTGCCTCATTTATTAAATATTTGCAAGATCTTTGTAGATATATACTTTTATTGAAAGCAAAAAATAGGTTCTAAAGTAATGTGAACACACAAAGCACAGATATACTTGAATATTGCTTGAATTATGTGAATAGCAAGGACATATATTATGGATATATAATTTGTGATATTTTAAAAAACTTTTTAAAAGAATGTGTAAGCTGCATATATAACTCAGGAGATTACGTATCTTTCTCATATTTCAAAGGAAAGATTATAAAATTAAAATGTCTTAGAGAACAGCTCTTCATCAGACATGAGCAAGAAAAAATACTCCAAATTTGTATGAACAATCTTGAGTTTATGAATTCTAGAAACTAAAATCTAGACTATGGAAAGATGAAAATAACACTCGTTACATCTGCATTTCTGTGTCTGATTGGGAGACTATGCTCTGATAAAAAGAAAAGATGTCATTGTATAGTATATATATATCAGATATCAAATAACACTGTATACAGGTTCATTTTTGTTATAAGCTCCTAATATTGAATTTAACACTTGGATATTAACAGATTCATTGGAAAACCATTTTTAACCTCAGTTAACTTTAAAAACAAGCATTCTGAGCAAATAAAAATTTTATTTTTATGTATTTCTCTATTTCAAATGACTTTTTACATGACTCACTGGTCAATAATACATAATTAATTGGTGCCTACTATTTGTAAGCTTTGTGACTCATTAGAGCGTGAGACTATTCTTTGAGGTGTTCAGAGCAGTTATTACTGTTCTCATCACACAGATGAGGATAGGCTTAGAGAAAAAGCAACTATAAAAAGGCATTTTGGAGACAATTGCACAAATGTGAACAGGGACTGGGCATTAAATATCAAAGAATTATTTTTATTAGCTAAGATAATGGTATTACGTGTAGCTTTTTTAAAATGTCCATAATTTATAGAAATGTGTATAAATGAAATGACATATAAGATTTGCTGTAAAATATTTTAGGAGAAAAACCCTACAACTGATTAAGTGTGACTTGATAGTTGCAGACTTGATATTTGCAGAGTCTGGGTGGTGGATAGGTTTGAAATTTTTCAGAATGAAAAAAAAACTAAAAAGAAATGATGCAGCGGATTTAGGTGTGAAATAACTTGGACACTGGTGATAGCACAGATACGGGGACTGCACAAGCACATACGCTTCTAACTGGAGAAGAACCCTCTTGCCTGTTAGTGTATGACAAAGACTTTTACTCAGTTCTGTCTGGGAACTTTTATACTCGTTTTGTAGTTATTGTGAATGTTTGGATATGCTGGTTTGCCCTAATATCACTTTAGTTGGTCTCCTCATCGAAATTGTAATTTTCTCTGAGGCTGTGAAGATTTGTTTGCTCTCTTTACCCTAGTCTTTTTCCCATTGCCTTTGCATGATTACTATTAAATGCTTGCTGAATTAATAAACACTTTATTTTTCTTTGTTTAGGAAGATGTTGGATGCTAAACACATATCTTACTTAAGCTTCTTATTGACATAGCTAATCCTAAACTTATTTCATATATATCTGTTCCTTTTCTAAATTTAACTAAAACATAATGGCCATTTATTTCTCCCATTGTATAACGTAATCTTCTGGAAACAGCTGGGATAGGATGCCTCAAAAACCCCTGTAACTCTACAGGGTGAGGATCAACTTCTGAAGGGGTGATTCCCAGTTATTTTGTGAGATGAATGTTAAAGGCATCCCTAGGGTAGAAATTAGACTTTGATTAAAAAGCTATTTTACTATCAGTTGATAAATAAATTTCACACTTTTGGTCTGTTCATTATTTTATTGTCAACACATTCTTTCTGAAGGGAGAGAATGAGTTTGGGAATTGGAGGTCTTCAAATGAGAAAGACTGACAAATAGGCCAACTCTAATATTTATATTTACAGTGGAGATTTTAAAAGAAATTTGACACAATGCACCTCACAAATGGATGCTAGACGTCAATTTTAGGCATCATTTTTGAATACAAGGAGACTGTTCATTTCTTCTTTTTTCCCCTAATATATAAACACTCCTAATGTTCAAATGTTTGTAAGACATGTTATCTTAAAGAATATTTTTGTAAAAAAAAAAAAATCAAGAAACAAGCTCCTGGAAAAGTGCTGGTATCTTTTTTTTTTTTTTTGATTGTTGGATAATTCTGCAAAGAATTTCTTCCAAATAAAGGGATTTAGCTTTGTATTAACTTTTACAATAAAAGCTCTCAAATAATAGATTCAAAATTCTAAATACTTTTAAGGATTATAAAAAGGTATGCCTGAAATCTTGCATGTTTTAAAACATAGTACAAAGTAAGCTTTTTATAATGTAGGCATTTTTAAAAAAAGTTTTATTTGTGTTTTCGGAATAAACGAGCTAACATAAATTATACATATTTATAGCAATAAACTACATTTCAGAAGCTGCACAACGACTTTTTTAAGTATCGCTGATGGTTTTCGACACCAGCCTTCATACGTGTTTTCTTTCTTTCATTTGCTGCAACATTTAATATCATGTAGTACCAAAGCAAAGAAAACCGCAACTTATTTTATAGCAAAGCCACACTTTAACAAAAATATCGAGTGAACTACAGTCCTGTGAGTGTTAGGTATCTGTGAGTCCTGAAATCGAGAGCACAAGCGTTTCTTGTGTCCATACCTGATTGCATGTAAATTGATTCTGCATTTTACAAGAATACACGATTACTCAAGGAATGGTTAAGAATAGAAAAAGGCCATGACGGGTAAAAGGATCAGGAATCAGAGGCCACTGAACAGTTTCTTTTTCACTGATTCGCTGCTTAGAGGGAAATCGATTTTTTCTTTCGTGTGTATAAATCACAGTCTACAGGCTTCATGGATTTTATCCACAGATAGATTTTGAGATAACAAACGCATAACACCACATACCTTAAGCACATACAAAGGAATTAATGAAATGGTTAGAATATCCAAATCCCTAACAGAAAGGGTACAATCAAGCACACACTGTATGAAATTTTGCTTTCCAATGTAAAAAGCAACTACAGAAAATCACAAGTTTCATTAGAACAGCAATTTCAATCAGAAAATGCAGCATATATTGATACAAAATAGAAAACTTGAATTATAAAAGTAAGGAGTCCACCTTTTCCTTTTCTGGCATTTGTTAAACCTGTCCTGTTAACATTAAAATTCCTACAGGTTTTACAGAAATACTCATTCTTGCCATTTCGCTTCTTTAGTGGTCTGGTAGGTATACAAAAGTATTACCTGCTTATATGTAAGAAAGCAAATGCTTATGTCAAAAGAGCATTAAAATATTGTAATTTATGTTTCTTTGCAATGAACGGGTTTCTGCCTGCCGAAAATAAATAGGGAGAAAGATTCTTTTATGTACAAGAACTATGTAATACCAACCAGGATATGAATTAGCTAAATCATGTTTGGGAGGAGGGTAGCTAGCAAATTGATACGTGGTTTCAAAACACAAAGAAGAAAAACATTGAACATCTAACATATTTGGTGAGTTTAGCATAACGGATTTTGAGAGGCAACAGAAGGTATGTATTTCTTTCTGTATATAGCACCTGCTTTGGAAAGCCCCAGCTATTTGGTACAGAATGCTATGAATTAAAATAGTGGGAGATCGGTTTGGGAAGTTTAGCTAAGTTTTGGATTCAGTCAAGTTTTAGGTGAGGTGGTAGCCAAAGAGGTGTTCCATTGCTGGCAGGAAAGTCATTTTATATTCTTTAGCCTAAAGAGTCCTGTGTTCCCAAGTTCCCAAACCTGACCAATCACTCCCTGTAGAAGGTCTTTGCCTCAGGGTCAGTCCCTTGGATGAAGCCAAGAGGTGGTGAAATATTCAGAGGTCATGATCAGCCAGGAGAATTTTTCAAGCAAGCCACCCTCAACTCAATTGCTTTTCTCTCAAAAACAGTTTTGTATTTAACCAATACTAAACTTTGCAATTTCCATTTCCATTAACCTCTTAAATGATGGGGCCACCATTATTTCACATTAGCTGTTAGGCTCCCATCATGATGGCGCAATGTGCTGCCTGGTGGTTAAAAAGAAAAAAATTATTTAAAAATGTCAAAAAAAAAAAAATTGGGTTCTTGTAAACATTGAAATCATTTAGAATTTCCAAAACCTCAAGCAGTCCTCGCTGTGTGATAACGCCACCTGGTAGTTTTTATCGAGAGAGTTATTGGCCCTCTTTAAAATAAGGAGTTGGGCGGCGCAGTCGTAGATATAGGTGTAGATAATCATGAGCCTTCCCTTCTTGGGAGAGTACCGGACGTTCTGAGCATGAAAGAGCACTTGGATATAGCATTCTGTTTTCCGTGACACTGCAGTGAGTTAGAATAACTAGGGGGCTTCCCTAAAAATGTCTCAGAGGCATTGTTGCAAAATTTCAAGCTTTATCCGGTGAGTATTTAAAAAAGATGTAGGAAACAGATCAATACTGAGTTAATTAGCTTAAAAAAGGAAAAAGCAGGCCCAGCGCAGTGGCTCATGCTTGTAATCTTAGCACTTTGGGCAGGGGGATCACTTGAGCCCAGGACTTTGAGGTTGCAGTGAGCTATGATGAGGCCACTGCACTCCAGCCTGGGTGACAGAGCAAGACCCTGTCTCAAAAAAAAAAAAAGCAGAAGATACACTGCAATTCAGTGTATCAGTGTATTTGGGAATATCAAGTAGAAAAATACATTATCTAGTAAAACTGGGATGGCTTGCCACTCTAAGGTAAGGCTTACAAATGGTATCTTTCTTTTATGCAAATGAATACTACACCTAACAACAGATCAAGAAAGTTCAAAATTGAAAGGAAGAGATGGGGCGGAAAATGCATTTCCTTGCACATTTATTCTATGCAGGCTTGAGAAGCAGTGGTGAATGTCAAGAACTGTCCATCCCTCTTGGATTGTTCTAAACTTTATATCTTGGAGGAAATGAAATTTGGTGGGCAATACCCTCTGGAAGTATTGTCTTAGAATTCACATGGGAGTGTTCTGTTAAT